CAGTGTAACAGGAATATAAGTAACCTTATTAATTACTTATGATGTTCCACAACAATTCAAGGACAAGGACCAGTTCTAAATTTCACTTTGAGTCTCCACTCAGATTGTTAACCTTACTTCCATTTTGAGTCCCGGGTCCTTTAACTTCTGCATAACCCGGTGGCAACTTCGGTGGGTGCACAATAGGCATGTTGGTGAAGGACTTGATGAGGGCGGCGAACGGAACGGCCAAGTGATTGTACTCACATTTGAAGCCGGAGAGCATGAAAACTGGCTTGGCCTTAGAGAACTGCTACCACCCTTTGTTTCGGTCTTTGGCACATCTACTTTCTTTTCTAACTCTGCACAGCTTTGTTGCGCTTCATTAATGTCTCCTCCAACGATAGTCTGGTTTTTATCTCCTACTGTCCTAACATTTGGTGCCCCATACTGAAGCCAAGGCTGCCTGAACTGTGGTGGCCGATTCAACATAGCAGCATGGGTTCCAGAAGAATTGCCGTTGTTTTCTGCACCCTTCGCCTCTAGCTTGAGGGCCTGGTTCTGACACATCATTGGGCTTATTTGGCTTTGATTCTTGCAGCTTATCTCTATCCATTGAAGAACTCGGATCAACTGGATCAACTCTAGGCACTGAAGTTCTGCCTGTGGCAATTGTAGTTGTGGGAAATGCTTTCTCTGGAGGGACAGCTGGAGTGTAATTAGATGGAAGTAGATCACCAATTCTCTAATAGCTCCTTGTAGACTTTCCGGAGGGTGACCTCTGTAAGACCTGTCACCTTACATATCTCAGCCTGTGTCTTGCGTTTGTCTTCTAATTGGCAAGCCAGATATATAGCAGCTGCAGAGATACTAATTGGATTCCGGCGAGTGCAAAAGCATTTGTTGATCACAACTTCCCCAATATGAGTTGCGAGCTCCTGAACACATGAAGAAGACTTCAATACATCCATCAAGAACCATTTCTAAAAGAATTCATACTCATCACAATATGATATAGTCATCCATATTGTTAAGCCAACACACACACATACCAATGAATTGTGTAGCATAAAACATATTGTAATCTTATTATAAACTTACCTCGAAACTTGTATGCATTACAAGATGATTTCCCACAAGTCCTATCCATTTTTAAGCAAATTTTTAAATTCTTTTAACATTTATCTGCAAAGAATTATACAATTTTCAAAAATTACAATTCAACTTTATTAACTAAAGGTCTAAGTGTCGAGGGGCCAAAAGACATTCACTCCTCAACTTGTTGAGGGTTCAAGCCACAAGGTTGGCATAATTGCATGTGAGTGGGCTTATATAAAAAAACAAAAACAAAACTAAAGGTCCAAGCAGTGACTCTTTAAACAGGAAGGTACCTGTGCAGATTTGTTGAGCTGGAGAAGAGTGCAAAATCTCGGCATATGAACTGATATTGAATTGCTGTTGATCGGTTGACTTAATTGCAGAGCTTCACCCAGGATCTTGATGTACTTCCCAATCTCTTTCTGTGGTACATTGGCAGCAATTGAGATTCCTGTCATTTTCGGAAGCCATTAGAGAGGACTTAAAAAATGGGGAAACCACATGCAATAGAGATTTGTCATTGGTTATGGCCTAAACTAGCAAAACCAACATCCATGTTGGCTTTGTAAGTGCTCACTCTTTACTTTTCCCTTTCAAGGCTCAAATTGCTAAAACGACATTGAAAACAAAACTATAATCATTAAGTTCCAATGAAACTCTTTATTCTATAGAATTCTACACTTCAAAGTTCTTGGTTTTCTTATGTTCTCCACCATCTCAGTTCCTCATAAAATATTCACCTGTACAAAGTCATCATACCCTCGATTTACCTTAAGGCTTGCCCAGTTCTTGTCTCCATCCACCTCTAAACTTATACTCTTCATTCCATTCCCGTCAAATCCCACATTATCATTCAGAAATCAACCGCCACCTTCAGCTGACTTTGGCCTCACATTACACTCAAGAATGACATCTAACGAAGTTTAGCAGGATCTTAGTACAAAGACACAAGATTAATCAACAAAATATGCAAACACTTAAAATATGCCACGTTATCATGAGGAGGAAAGAACAGCTAATTTACAAAATTTTGGTGTAGCACATACAATAATATTCACACATGCATAAACAAAATAGTGTTCCTAGAAACAATATGCTTCACATATTTATCAAGGAGTCTTCAAAATGCAAACAGGCACACTTGATCTTTGGTAACAAATTAACTTGATTCTTCCATACCAATAAACTATTTAGCATAAACAAGTCAAAATGCAAAACCCCACTTAATCTATAGAGAAAATTACCATGAATAGAAATGAATCAGAAATATAAAGTTACCTGTAGGGTTCGGGGCTCTTGAGCTTCCCTAATGGCCTGAACAAGAGCAGCAGTAGCAAGCGCCTCAACACTCCGGTTCCTCAAACAGGTAGCCGAACAACAATCCCTAAATAACTGAAACGCGTGATCCGATATATCGCAATCCAACCCCAAAATAGACGCCACATCAATAATCTGCATATAAGCCCTCAAATTATCCACCACAACCGTCGAAGACGACGTTGGCGAAGGCGCTGAAGACGAAGAAAGTTCCAGAATCCGCTCAAGCTCCGCTAGGTGGCCGGAAAAGGAGAGAGAGGACCGGAGGAAGAGTGGGCTGGGCTCCAGGGACCATGTAGAAAAAGCCGTGATAAAGCCCGTAGGCTCAAACGGGTCGTCTTCGTGGATTTGGTAGGCGGAAGCTGGAGCGGGGATGTCGGAGGTCACGAGGCAGAGAGGGGTATCTTGAGCTCGCATGTGAAAGAGGTGGTGGTTTTGGGATTGGCGCTCCTCCACGACACGTCCGCACGAGGTGCACTCCGTTATGGACCGGCCGGTTGTCGTGGTGGCGCACCGACCTTGCGCCGCCGAGCAATACGGACACTTCATCGGTTATTATTTATTAGTTATTACTCTCTAGTACTACAGCGAGAAAGAACGGGGGTGTGGATTGATTTAACTAACAAAGAATTCCACTCTCCTTTTCATTTTTAATTTTAATTGAGTTGTTTTAACCACGCATCCCTTAATTATACCAAGCTTTTTATATTAGTTTTTGGACTTTAAGACATTCTAAATCAATCTCTAAACTATGAATATCATTTCAAACACATCCTTGTGGTATTTGAGTATTAAATATCAATTTGGGTGGAGTATTAAATGTCCGAGGCGGGCATGTTGCCCTGGTTATATATATATATATTATATATATATATATATATATATATATATATATATATATATAGATATATATTATATATATATTAAATAAGGTGATTGCAAAGTAATATTTTTTTTAAATATTCTCAATCATTTGACAGTGAACGTTTAATATGGTTCGTGTTGCCCTGAATATATTATAAACATTTACTTCATATTATTTTTTTATGAACCATATTTTATTTTATTTTAATTCTATATTATTTGTTGTACTCGTATTTTAGTATCCTATTCAATTCAACGTATTTTTCATGTATGATTATGTATACGTATTATTGTGCTTTTAGACTTTTAGTATGAAATAAGAATAAACGAAGGTCAATTTCTCTTATTCTAGACGTTAAGTAAGTCGAAATTTCTTTTTATATTCTTGTTCCTTATTAAATAGCAACTATTATTTTTATTTTAAAATAAATATATTCTAAAGAAATTCGATTTATCCTATTTGTTGATCAGTTTGAAATTTCTCAAATTTATCTTTGTTTTTGTTAAAAATCAATCATCGTTATCTCTATAAATAAAATCTTGATGTTCGATGAGAATTTTTCTTGTTGGAGATGTTGAACAAATTAGAATATTTTGAATTAGTCCTACTTCGGATTTCTTTTTTTCTTAACATATTATTTTATTGCTTTACCATTATTATTTAGGGCTCAGAGAAATTGTTAGAGAATTTAATGCTCGACATGTAAAATAGATACTATTAAGTCGTAGAATCTAGAACGGTTAGTCGATATATTTTACTGTTTTTATTTTCGAATTTAGATTAAAGAGTATGATTCATGTTTTAACATTCTCATCGTATTATTTAAAACGAGACATTATCTTGAGTTAAGGCGACTCTCGATGTCTTTTTAGATGTCGGAAGATGTTGAGGTTATTTAGCAAAGGGTTTTATCTTCGATTTTCATAATCATGAGATTCTTCGGACTTCTCCTAGACGTTGAGGAACGCACGAGTTTAATTTTCTTATATATACTGACATGTAAATTCTCAAGTACTTGAATTTAATTTTAGTTAGAGAGTTCGATATTATTTTTGAAAATTTAAGAATTCCGTATTAATCCAAAAATGCACTAGCAAAATCTATAAATCGAGATAAAAATAACCATATAATCAAATAAATATCATTTATAGGCGTGCGTTGTAGGAATGTTAATCTTTTCTCACGTATAATTACGCATTTGAATTCAACTAAAGTTTTTTCACTTGGATATTTTTTTATGATCAATCACAGTGACTTTATTTTTTTAAAATAGCCACGCTGTTTTGTTTTATAAAAACGATTTCGACAATAATTGTTCAATTTTGAGACTAAAACCTATAATTGCTCACCTTCGAAATGAACTTGTTTATATATATATATATATATCTATCTGTGAAGACCAATTTGTTCAACAGCAAAACTGAGGATCAAAGATGTTCTACCCCAAATAAATATAGGTATTCGTATTTTTTCCAATTGAAATTATACAACCATAAACAAAAACATTACTTTGCAACAAATAAGTATAATTCAAAACCCAGAATCGACAACTTAGGGGAATAAGATATAAAATACAATCACCAAAATTAACAAATTTTACAACATTTTGTTCATAATCAATTATTATTATGATGAAAATGTTTCTGGGTTATATTTATGAGGCGAAAGGAGGATATTGTTAAGTTGACGTTACCACCCAATTCAAAGTAGAAGATATAGACAGCAAAATTTTCAAGAGAATTGAAACAAATATATCGTTTTGTTTCTGTATGCAAACCGTATAAGGGTTTCCCGATAGGATCAGGCCACTACCTCTCGCAATTCGCAAACATGGGCGGTAGAGCAGTAAAATGAGAGTTCGGAAGTAGTAATTAAGATTAACATTATCCAGCATTTCTTCTTCGCATCACATCATTCACCAATTCCACTTGAAATTACCTTCAACCTACGTTTCTCTGCTCGTTTCAGGTCCTTCTGCAAAACACATCACAATTGTAACATCAGTACATCACAAAGCCAATGCCAAATAAATTCCATCCACTAAGCTAACAAAATGAAACAGCATCGCATAACTTCATTCATCAATTGGTTTCTAGCTGTAATTTGTCTCACATATCTTCAAATTTAACTGATATTTTACCCCCACCCCCAAATCATGATCCATGTTAAATATTTCTACCATGAGAATGAGACGGTTCATTAAGACATTGAATGCCATAGGTGTTGAGCCATGAGCAACCAATACCATCCAACCACGGTCACAAAATTTACTATATAATGTATTGGATAAAAGGCTTGCGTATTCTAGAATATCCCGATGGTTTGTCAAACTAAAGTGAAAAGAATCGGAAGAATAAATGAAAGAACGAAATAACTCAACTGGTTACATATGCTTCTTTAAGTTAACCAATATCTCAGTAAAAGTAACCACATCATCACAGCATACTGCAAGTCATGCTCATGACACAAGAGCATATACCATGTTTATGAGTATCTATCCCAGCATATCGATAAAGTCTACAATCTCAAATTATTTGAATTCAGGGAACTCCAATACATAAGGACAGCGGAATGCGTAGTAAGAAAAGCATGCAAGTTTCAGTTCATTGTTTGTTTGACTCCTTAAAACATGTTAAATTTATAGAAAACAAAAGATGTTCACAGCTGCAAATTCATGTCAAATTCAGATATGCTCCAACAGTCATAAAGGTTAAGTGGCATAAACCTACATGCCGGTTATTGAATTATCCAGCCCCATGTACCTTTCAGCTAGAAATTTTACCAGCTACTAGTCCAATCAATTGACCTAATCTCTTATTAATTTTGGCCGTTTGCACAAAAGTATTCAATAATAGAGAAACTTGCTCCACCAAACCTTACATCTCCATCCCCTTGCACTTTCATTTTGAAATAGGCATATCAAAGTCCTTGCAACGCCTAGGCAAATTCCACTTAATTGGATTCTCAAACTCTAGAGGGAAGAATCATCCAGATTAGGACTATCTATAGCTTTGTCAGTACTCAGAACTGATTTCGCCCACCAGACAGGTTGTTAGAAATAAATAATAGAGAAACTCGAATCACCAGATCTTATATCTCCATCCCCTTGCATTTTTCCCCTGAAATAAGCATACCAAAGTCCTTGAAACACGTAGGCAAATGCCACTTAATTGGATCCTCAAACTGTAGAGGGAAGAATCATCCAGATTAGTACTATATATTGTAAACACCCCAAAGACATACAACAAATCATCACAAACATCGTATTTATGACTTATTAAGATGCATAGGAGAGAATACCACGTTCAAAATTCAGATTTTGTAGAAAAACAAATGAATACCTCCAAACATCAAAAATTATTTGATATCGATTAAAACAAGAATTTTATTTGAGAAACCCACACCTGGTTGGATTCGGGTTTTCGAAATTTGGGGTGTTACATCTATAGCTTCGTCAGAACTCAGAACTGATTTCACCCACCAAAAGAGTTACAGGTTGCTAGTATTCACCAAAGTCCAGTCTCTAGTGTGGATTATTAGAAAAGAAAAATTGATATTCCATAATCCACTAAAAGAATCGATAAAAATAATAAAGGGCAACTTAACGGCAAAGATGAAAACAGTGGCTATAAAAGATTAGGAATGAAATGTTAGACTTATAGCTCCTTTCTTAGAACAGAAATAAAGATAAACAGTTAAAACATGACTAAATACCCTAAAAGAAGTCGGTGCCTTCTAAACTGCTACATGAGTACTAATTCTAGATCCCATTCCCAATGGACCGAAGAGTAGAAATTAACTTCAATGAAATGGAAACTACATTTAAAACCCCAGAAGCAATAAACGGAAATGTTAGCTGCTTCTGTTCACTTATATGTAAACGGATATTGAACAATCACATGTTAACCAAAGCACGTGTTTAATCAAATGCGGAAATACAAGAACTGCAATAATTATTCTAGATCATCAAAAGCTAATCAAAATCAACAAGGAAAAGAAAGGTAACCCCTCACCGTTGATCGGATTAGCGGAGAATCAAGATTCACGGAGCGTACGGACATCTTAGCGATCTCAGTGATTGCATCCTCTCTAACTCCAGGCACATCACTGATCAAGTCCTCGTAGGCAGCCTCAAACGTCTGTTGCCAAAACATTGGTAAGCTAATCCGATGGCTGCTAGTGTACACATCCCACATGTGCATCACCAACTTCTCTCTCTCCATTTCCTAACGAAAAATGAAGCAAGAAAAAAGAACAATTGAGAAAAGAAATTCATACGCAAAATTAGGAGAAAACAGGAAGAGAGATTTGTTGGTGGGGGGGGAAGAACATACGAGAACATCCAGATCGTCGTGAATGTGGCTATCAATATCATCGGAAAAACGGCTGAGGTTACCGGCTGACCAACGGAGAGTAACGGTACCGGTGAACATCGACCAGAATGCCAATAACAGAATCGCCGCTAAAGCCCAGAACTTGTAATGGCCTTTACCGAATAAACTCGAATCTGAGTTCTCCTTTTTCACATTAGCTAACGTTGTCGTCCGCAGAACGTCGTCGACCTTCATTTCCTTTTTGCTTGAATTTATTTTACTGTTCTTCTTGAGTTCTTTTTCTAGTAGAAATGGTGTGGACTTGGATTCGGAAGCTCTTCGATTTGCCCTTCAAGTTTTTATTGATTTCCCGTTTCGCCTTTCGAGTGAAAGAGACTAAATTTATTGTAAATCGCAATTGTTGACGTTTACCGATTATATTGACCGTTGATGTAAATTTAATTAGGGATGACGGGTTCGGGTCAGATATTAGTTCTTGTTTAAAAAATTCATATTCATCTCCGTTTAAAAAAACGGGGATTTAAACGGGATTTTTATCGGGTAATTGGGGAAACCGCGGGAAACGAGTATCTTCCGTTTAGCACAAACATTATTTAAACGGATATCGGGCAGGTATATATATATATATATATATATTTAAATTAAATATATAAATATTATATATATATATATATTAATTTAAATTAAATTTATTAATATTATATATATATATATAATAATTATTTTTAATATTTATCGAGACGGGTATCGGTGGGTAATCGGGGCGGAGATTGTCAAACCCGTCCCCGTCCCCATCCCCATTTAGCATAAACGGTTTTTCCCGTCCCCATCCCCGTTTAACATAAACGATTTTTTTTCATCCCGTTTAATTCGATTTTCGATTTTCCCCGTCGGTTCGTATTTTCTTTTTATTTTCCCCCTTTTTAATCAAAATTCAAAACATGCAACTTTTTTCTTTTATTAAGGGGTTGTTTGTTTACTTCAGAATAATTAAGCGCTAAATGATTTAAATGTTGAATGATTCAAAGGTTCTGTATGAATTAGCTCTTTCAACACTGTTTTGTTGAATCAGTCAACACTGAATCATTCAGATGTGCAAAACAAACGCGCTGAATGCTGAACCGAATGATGATTTCATTAAGAGGCAAATCATGTAATTTATATAACGAAAAATAATTTTTTTCATATAAATGGTTGATAAGATAATTTGGTTAATATAATTTATCTTTGGCTTAATTATATGTAAGGTTCTCAATCTTTTCTAAAAAATCAATGTAGCACCTGAATTGTTGTTTACATTCAAAATAATTCTCAAAGTTAAAAAAATAAGACTAAAGCATAAGAGGTCCTTGTACTTTGAAAAAAAATAATGTGACTCTCATATTATTTTTCTTTTAATGTGACATTCTAACTCATAAAATAAATTTAATGTGACCTATTAAACAATGTTTTTCGACGTTTGACCATAACGTGCTGACATGACAGTTCACAATATTGACATGGCGGTCCATAGTACTAATGTGGCAATCCATTTGTCATGTCTAAGTTATCAATTTAGCTCATATATCATTTTATCTGTCACATTATCAACCACTGTGAACTGTCAAGTCAACACTATAGACCGTCACGTTAACGACATGGCAATTAAAGGTGCTAACATGGTAGTTTACGATATTAACGTGGTGGTTCACGGTACTAACGTGTCATCCAATTTGTCATGTATGAGTAACTAATTTAGCTCATCTGTCATTTTATCAACCACCGTAAGTTGTGACGTCAACACCGTGTGCCGCCATCAATATGTTTATCACTTCAGCAACAGTCAACGACTGATCAGTCACATAGACTTATTTACTGAAGTGAATGATCATATTGAAAGAGAAAATAATTACTTCAGCACTGTAACAGTCAACGATAAAAAATATTGATCAAAAGGTCACATTAGACTTATTTACTGAAGTGAACGATCATATTGAAAGAAAATAATTAGAAAGTGCATCGAGTTTTTTTTAAAAGTTTAAGTACCTCTATGTTTTTTTTGCTAAAAAAATAGTGTGATCTTTTGACTAATTATTTTTGTCGTTGATTATTATGATATTGAAATAATAATTTCATGATATTATGTTGAAGTAACTTCAATGATAAAAAAAAGTTATTCTTCTTAAATGTATTGGGTTGAAATAATTGTATGTATAAGATATATATAAATATCAATTAATTATATACATTTATTTAACTAATCTAATAACAATTAAATACCATTTAAACTTACAAATGAAAAAGAAGAAGAAGAAGATGAAGAAGAAGCAAACCCATGTATAAAAGTCACCTTGGTCGGACAAAAACAGTTCATATCTTGGGACTTCAACACACAGTACTATTACTAAAACATAGAGAGCGGGAAAAAAAATGCCGATGGCGAAACGCTTCAAGCTAAAGATATCCTGTGTCTTGTTCCAATCTTGCCGTTCCAAAGATCCTTTTGTTTCCCCCCTCAAATCCTGACACTTCGTTCTTCGGACTTTCTTCTGTCAACTCAAACCCTATCACCCTCCATTTACCCCCATCAGCCCCGCATCCAACTGCTCGTTGTTCCTCCCTCAAACGCCACGTTTCCTCTGCGTTCTCGTCTAGGGGTTGCGGTCTCCGATCAAGATCGTCCGCTCCGTGATTCTCTGAAACTGTCCGACGCGGATGCCGGAGTTTTACTGGGAAAGAGAAGATGGATGGCACGTAATCGCCAAAGTTCTCGACGATGACCAAACCCCTCGTCGTAAAATCTACTATACATCTGACAATAACGACGACTTTTTCATCTCTCCATCTAAGACTCCCAACACGGAAAACAGAAAACGACGATGGAGAAAGAAGAAAACAACGCCAACAACCCGCATAAGGAAGTCGTCAGTGGAGAGCTTTGACGACGAAGAAACAGAAACCCTAGTCTCATCTTCTGGGAGTTTCACAACTGATTCCTCTTCAACCATACGCAAAATAATGACCATTAAGCATAGAAAGAGGAGAAAGAAAAACAGGAAAGTGAAGAAGGCAACAACGAGGAGCGACACGATGAGATTATCCTCGTCGGAGAGCGAATCACCGGCGAGACTTTCGAGCTTTTTGCAACGGATAGTACCATGCACGGTGGACGGAAAAATGAGTGAGAGTTTTGCAGTGGTGAAGAAATCGGAGGATCCGTGCAAGGAATTTAAGCGGTCAATGATGGAGATGATATTAGAGAATCAAATGTTCGAGAAGTAGGATTTGGAACAGCTCTTGCATTGTTTCTTATCTTTGAATTCTAGGCGTCATCATGCGCCATTGTTCAGGCTTTTGCTCAGATTTGGGAGGCTTTGTTTTCTACGAGATCCACTAGTTCTGGACTTCCATTTGCTCTTAATTTAGTAAACTAAATCATTCTCCAAATTAATAAATTATAAATAATCAAGTTTTTGTTGTATTTATATTTCTCATCAATTTTTTATTATGTGAATTTATTATTCTAGTTTTATTTGACCGTCAATCATGGGCAAAAGGTTAAAATAAAAAACAAATCACCAATATCTATGTGATTTAGTGGATGAGACATTAAGTCCTTCGAGAATAGGGGTTCAAATCTTACGTTTGTGAATGGAGCAAACTGGATTGAGAGGGTCACTCTTACCTCTATAATACCCGCCTAGATTAATCAGTCAATAGATTAAATACTAATAATTAATTAAAAAAAACAAAGCACTCCTATTATCTTTTCGCCTCTTTATCATTGATCATTAGTGTTTCTTCTTTCATTTTTATCATTATTTTACATTCAAAGTTAGTCAAAAAAAAATCATAATTTTTAAGAGAAATAATAAAGGTTTATATTTATTTCTTAATCTATTCTAAATTGATTTATTTAAAAAAAATTTAAAAAATAAATGTATGAAACATAATTAAAAAAATACGTGAAGTTTATTTATGTAAATAAAAACTAATATATATATATATATAACTATATCAATAAATAAATTATAATAGAGGATTCATTTATTAAAAAATCAACGATAATTATAAATCCGAATCTAGAGCTATGAGAAAATTATTTTCGAACACAAACTATATAATCAGATCTTATATGAAGCCGGACATATGAAAGATCATCATTATAACAAATAAACACATATTAATCAATTGACATCAAATTTATTCAAAAAAAAATTAAACGGAAAAAAAAATGAAATGACCAATGAAAAACAAAAAAATGTGATAAAAAAAAAGTATACTATAAAAATAGAATTATTAAAAATTTTAAAAAATAAAATAAAACAAAATATTGATAAGAAAAGATAAAAAGGCAAAAAAAGTTAATGACAATTGTCGACTACCACCAAAACGCTGTGGCTCGCAAATCAAAGAGTAAAAAAGAAGCAAGCAATGGCTGCTAGGCTGTGAGAGAGCTGTCTACGGTTTCCAATACACCAACTTTTCAAACATGTGAAGTTTTTATACACTAATATTTAAATTATTTAATTTCATTTATATTTATTAACAAGATAATATCGAGGGTTAATTAGAGATCACTTAAGTATATATATTTTTTGTCCATTTTTAGTTGTCAATTTTAAAAATATAAGATATGATCATTTTCATTTTATTTAATTAAAATATGGTCACATTGAATTAACTGTCGTTAAATAATTATATATTTTGATATAATAACACATTTGGTTTATATTTAATTTTTATATATTCTATAAATTTAGTCATAATTTTAATAAATTAAAATAAATTTAATCCTCCAACCGAATTATATCACATGTCATGTCACGTGTTATTGGTTGAAAGACTAATTTTATTTAAATTAGTATATTTATTTTTACCAATTAAAAAGTGACACACATCACCATCTAGTGTAAGAAAATAAAGAAAAGCAAATAGAGACAAAAATGATTCAAACCTTGGTCACTTAAAAAACTAAACTTGTATCCATTAAGCCAAAATCATTGCTTGGTCTAAACGTAGGCAACATGATGTATATTTTGTATCTTAATGTATAAATACTTAAATTTATAATATTTTACATATATTAACTTAAAAATATCTTTATATTAACTTATTAAATATATTTTATTATTAATTTAATTTATTTATTTTCATTCAAAAATATATATTTTATATTAAAATTTATTTAAAAGTGTGATAAAATTAAGAGAATGTGTAAATAAAAGGGATAAAATGTGTGATTATATCATCTGTCACGTCACATATTCAGTTAATTGTTAACAACAGTTAACCCGTGATGACCAAATCTTAATTAAAAAAAAATGAAAGTGACCATATCTTAATTAAATAAAA